TTCCCCTTTACTTTTATCCAGTTGTCTTAGCATAACTTTAATTGAATTGCCTTGGTGCCTTTGTTGAAATTCCATTGACCCTATATTTGCAGGTTTGTTTTTGGATTCTGCTCTCTTGATACATCTGTCTTTTTATCAGTACCACACTGTCTTGATTACTGTAGTTCTCAATTATGTTGTGAAATCAGGTAATGTGAGTCTTCCAACATTATTTTTTCTTTTTCAAGATAGTTTTGGCATTTAAATTTCATTTTAGAATTAATTTGTTTCTTCAGAAAACTCTTTTGGGATTTTGCCTAGGATTACTTGAAATCTGTAGATCAGTTTGAGAAACCTGACATCTTAAGAGTGTTGAGGCTTATCTAAAATAATGATCTCTCTCCACTCATTTAGGTCACCTTTAATTTTTTCTTAGCCATGTTTGGTAGTTTTGTGTAGAGGTCTTATATCTTAATTAATTAATTTATTTTTTATTTATGATAGTCATACAGAGAGAGACAGAGAGGCAGAGACATAGGCAGAGCGAGAAGCATGCACCGGAGCCCGATGTGGGATTCGATCCCGGGTCTCCAGGATCGCGCCCTGGGCCAAAGGCAGGTGCTAAACCACTGCGCCACCCAGGGATCCCCGAGGTCTTATATCTTTAGATTTATTTCTAGGTACTGATATGTTTTGATGCTACAGTTTTGATTTTTAAATTTTATTTTCCAGTTGCTAATATATAGAAATACAGTGCATTTTTTTTTTATATTGGCCTTGTATTCTGAGACTTTGCTAAAGTCATGAATTGGTTTTAGTAGTATTTTAGTAGATTTTATAGTGTTTTTTACACAAATAATCCTATCAGCTGTGAGTTTGAGTTCATCCACTCCAATTTTTATGCTTTTTTTGTCTTGTCCTTATATGTTGGTTAGGACCTCTAATTCAAGGTTGAATAGAAGTGGTGGAAGTAGACATCCTTGCCTTGTTTCTGATCTTAGAAATAAGAATTTGATAATTCACCATTGAGTATGATGCTAACTGCAGGGTTTTTAAAAAAATATTTTATTTAAATTCAGTTTGCCAACATGTAGTTTATTTTTTTTATTTTTTATTTTTTTTAAATTTTTATTTATTTATGATAGTCACACAGAGAGAGAGAGAGGCAGAGACACAGGCAGAGGGAGAAGCAGGCTCCATGCACCGGGAGCCCAATGTGGGATTCGATCCCGGGTCTCCAGGATCGCGCCCTGGGCCAAAGGCAGGCGCTAAACTGCTGCGCCACCCAGGGATCCCAACCAACATGTAGTTTAACACCCAGTGCTCATCCCATCAAATGTCCTCCTTAGTGCCCATCTGAGGGTTTTTTTTTATAGATGCTCTTTACCAGACTGAGAAAGTTTATGTCCATTCCTAGTTTGTGGACAGTTTTTGTCATTAATTTTACCAAGTGCTTTTTCCACATCTACTGAGATGATGCAGGTTTTTATCTTTTATTCCTTTGGTGATGAATTAATGATTTTTTTGAATTGGTGATTTTTCAAAATTAACTTCTCATATATACTTAATCATGATGTAATTATCTTTTGTGTATATTGCTGGCTTCAGTTTGCTAATATTTTACAGAAAATTTTATGTATATGTTCATGAAGGATGTCAGTCTGTAATTTTCTTATGTTTCTGTCTGGTTTTAATATCAGTGTGATGCTGGCTTTATAAACTGAGTTAAGAAGTGTTTTCTTTGATTATTTTCTGAAAGTTTATGCAAGGTTGATATTATATCTTCCTTAAATGTTTGATAGAATTCATTTGGACCTGAGCTTTAGGGGGAGATTTTTATTATTTGGATTTTTAACTTCTTGTCAGTTTTGGTAAATTGTGTTTTTTCAAGGATTTTTCTAAGTTATTGAATTTATTGTCATAACGTTGTTCATACTAAGTTGTTTTTAACATCTGTAGGATTTGTAGCAAAGTTCCTCTTCATTCTTAATGTTGGTCATTTTCTCTTTTTTCTTAATCAGTCTGGCAAAGGATTTAATATTCATTTATCTTTTCAAATAATCATCTTTTGGCTTTATCCTTAACTTATAGTTAATTTCTTTATTATAACATTTGATGGAGAAGGTAGCCTTTATTATGTCTAGTTAGAATCCATTTTTTAAAAATGTGTATGGTCTAACTCATGATTAACATCGTGATTAATACCCTGATGGGTGTTAATCGTATGGAAGGACTACCAGTTGTGGGGCATCCCAATTGGGTGGTGGTTGGCAGCGGGAGTGATGAGATAATTCATTCAAGGCAGAACAGAAGAGATAGAAGCTTATTGAATACATGCAAGGGGACAGTGAGGGTCATGACAGCAAAACTGAAATTGTCTGCCAGGAGGCAGTGGTGAAGGGCCACCGTGATGAGGGCAGAGTGAGGAAATGTAGGGACATAAAGAATTTCCCTTTTTGATAATCTGAGGAACTGTACTGTGCCTGTTTGTAATTGGTCAGTTAGGGCCTATGTCTATTTTGAGGTAGGTCGCTTAATAAGCCTGTGTACTTTGAGCTAAGTGGTCTCTGTGGGCCCTTTTCCTTGCTTAAGTTTCCATTGCTCAAACCTGCTGCTTAAAAGAGCCTCGATAACCCCCTTGTTTCCTGCCCCATAATTATATTGTTCAAAGAATATCGTAACCAAAGTAACATTAGTTCGCACCTTGGTGAGGTAGAGACTACACCAGGTGGAGTTGTCAAGAAAGGAAACTAGTTTTGCAGCAAATAAGGAGATCATGGGGAATAACTTCTAAAGCCGTGACTCCCCAAGCAAGGGTGAATGGTTTCTTTTATTTTGGGTTAGGATGAATATTCAGAAAGGGCAGCTTTGTCCTTGTGGAGGTGAGCTTAAAATTGTGCCTGCACCTTAAGGAAACCTGCGTATACACACATTGCCTGTCTTGTTAATGAGGCTTGTGCCCATCCTGGGGTGAATTTTTAGCATTATAACGAGGTAAAAGTAACTGTCCCTTGTGGCCACCTCCGATCTCTGCTGGTGTGAATTGGGGTTAAGCTCAACCTGGTCTGGGTGGTCTGGGCCTGCCAGAGCTTCCTTTGGGCAGTCATTTTTGCTTGAGGGGTAGTTTTGGTTTCCATCATGGGATGCTGTGCCCATGGCATTCTTTGCCTGAGTTAGAAGCTGGAATGAAGATCTTAAAAATGTGGGAAAAGGTGGGCAGTGGAGGTTAGGCTTTGGGAGTCCAGCTGGGGACAGAATAGCCACTCTAGATTCTTATGTTTTCTGAAATGATATTAGTCTCCAACTATGATTATGGATTTGTCTCTTTATTATTGATTTTTCCTGTTGTTTTTTGCTTTCTATATTTGAGATTCTTTGTTAGTTACACAACTATAGCATCCTGTGTTTTTTTTTTTTTTTTTTTACTAATGGCTTTAATATAAAATCTTTTTACCTTGCTCTAGTTTATCTCATGTCAACACTGCTCATCTACTTTGTTTTTCTTCCTTTTTAAAAATTTGGTTCCAGGTGTACTTCTTGTAAACAGCATCAGTCTCGACTAGAGTAAGATGTGACTTTTTTTTTTATAAGCATGTTTAAGCAGTTTACAATTATTGTGATTGCTGATGTTTTCTTTGTTCCCAGCTTTCTTGTTGCATTCCGCCCCCCACCCTTTCTCTCACCTTCTTAATTTTGTTTTCCTTTTCCCCTTTCTCCAATACCACCAGTCCTCCCTCCCCATGTCTGCAGTGCTACCTGTCCTGCCAGCAGGGAGGGTCATTTGTAGAAAACCCCTGAGTTTGTCCCATTGCATTTGGTACCTCTATAGGATAACTAAAGCAATGCCACCCAAAAAGTGCAGCTTTCCCCTAGGTAAGCCTCAAATCTCATTTCTGAATTAATGATTTTAGATTCAGTTGAGAAATGAGAAAATTAATTTTACGGGAGAAATGCCTGTAGCAGAGTTATTTGTTTCTATATCTTAGGAGGTGTAAGATCTCCATCTTGACCTCTGCATACCGCAGGTTTTCAGGCTCATGGTACAGATTCAGTAAATAGGAGATTGATATTTTGATTGGTTCAGCCTGTACCCTTTCCTTCCAATGTGTGGAATATATATGTTACGCATTACTAGAGGGACACCTAGATACATCTTTAAATACCAGCAAATCAGTTGAAAGAAAGAAAATAATTCTACTTTTATTCATTCAGTTCTTTTGGATTATCATGGAGAAAGCCTCCTTTTGATTCTTATATCAAATACAGGTAGGACGAAAGGGAATGACAGAATTAAAGAACATGGTATGTTTTGGAGGTTGGATGTGGCCTTAATAGAAAAGGTATGGGAGTGAATGAAATTTGGAAATTGCTTCTCTAGCACTTCTTAGGGGTCTGGTTATTTCTGCTTTATCTGCAGAACTGACTTGTTTAACATATGTTTACTGAGCATCAGCAGAGAATTGTCCTGAGAATATGGGGAAAGGACATATGTTAATGTGGCAACTAGTGTGAGTGTATGATGGTAAATGCTGTCGCAGTGGCCAGGATGTACTTGCCTATGAGGCAAAGGAGAGATCATCTCTGGCCTTGGGTCAGACTAATATTTTCATGAAACTACATGTCTTTCTCCCTTTTATTTTGAACCTCTCTTCCTAAATCTACGTCAGTTTTGGGGGAAGAAGAGGCTCTTGTTTATAGGTATTACTCTGAGAAGGACTGTGTCTGAAAGGAGAAGTCACATTGGTCCTCAGAAGACAGAGTGGCTCCCAGAGTTCTAGATCTAGCATACCTGTGTTTAGCTGGATAACTAAATTGTTTAGAATCCCAAGTTCTTCATCTTTATTGATGATGGTGAAACCCAGTGTCCTACCTGATTCATTAGATAGCGTATGTGAGAGACATTTGTGATGTACTTTCGTACATCCTATTTTCACTCTCAACTTGTGTTTGAAATATTGGTGGTTAATGATTTTGAGTGCATTTTAGATATTTAATTCTTTTTTTCTCTTTTTTCCCCCTAGGTCTTGATGCAGAACTTTATTATGTGAGAAATGACCTTATTAGTCACTACGCTCTATCCTTTAACCTGTTAGTACCCAGTGAGACAAATTTCCTGCACTTCACTTGGCATGCAAAGTCTAAGGTAAGAGAGTGGTCAACCAAAGATGCCAAGACAGGACCACTCAGGCCCTCTACCTGAGGGATGGTCTGCCCTCTGTACAAAAGGGTCTGTGGCTGGTGGGTGGTAGCAGTACTGGGTCTTTTCAGATTTATATTTTAAGTCTTTAGCCTATTCTGTTAGACTTTCTCAAGTCCTTTAAAATGAAGGTAGCCATCATTTATTTATGTGACTAGCTAATGACAGAACACTTATATCCTTTCAGGCTTTTCAGGCAGGGATGCAGATCTGGTTTGAAGAGGGAACAGTTGGATCTGCTAATGACTGCTGTTACTCTGAACTGATAGGAGTGGTGGATGGGAAAATTGGTGAGATAGGTGTTTGGGGCATGTTTGATGTAATGGATACAGTTTTGCCATTTCTGGAGAAATGGTAAAAGTGAGATACATCAGACACACGACACCCATGTGTGCTGTGGCTAAGCTCCTTTAACGGTAAGGAGCCTTCTGTCTGGCTACTCATTGATGAATTCTTCACACTTTCTCTGACTGACTGGACGCCATGAACATGGTAAGTTTTCTCACAGGTCAAAGAGTGGGAGGCTGAGGGTAGAGCCCACCTCCTCCAGTCAACTTTAATTTCTTTTATTATCATTATATATAAACTGAAGAGGATTTTATTTGGGAAATAAAAATAGTTTTAATACTAAAATCTCTTCTAGAGTTTTTTTTTTTAAGTATTGTAAATTGTTGTCTGTCCTGATATTTGTTGCAAGTCATTTAAATTTGATGGCTTTAATATAGATTTTTTTTTAACTTTATTTATTCATGAGAGACACAGAGGGAGAGGGGCAGAGACATGGGCAGAGGGAGAAGCAGGCTCCATGCAGGGAGCCCGATGTGGGACTCGATCCCGGGTCTCCAGGATCAGACTGAAGGTGGCACTAAAGGGCTGAGCCACCCGGGTGCCCCTAGATCATTTTATCTACTTAGAAAACAGTAATGAGTATTAGGAAACTTCAAGTATTCATAGAATTACTTTAAAAACTGTTGAGACTTTGTTTAGGTCTACACCCCAAAATAATCATTGTTTATAGTTTGATATACTTCAAACTCAGTTTTGTTTTGTTTTGTTTTGTTTTATGTTTTAAACAAAAAAGGGGAATTTATTCCCCTTACCTATTACTGTTTCCTGGCATCTTTCCATGTCTCTACTTATATATCTAACTTATTCTCTTTAATGGCTTTATAGTATGATACTGTATGGATGTATGATTATTTCTTAAGTGCCTCATTGATACATTAATTTTTTATAGCATTTCACTATTTTTTTTTTATTTATGATAGTCACAGAGAGAGAGAGAGAGAGAGGCAGAGACACAGGCAGAGGGAGAAGCAGGCTCCATGCACCGGGAGCCCGATGTGGGATTCGATCCTGGGTCTCCAGGATCGCGCCCTGGGCCAAAGGCAGGCTCCAAACCACTGCGCCACCCAGGGATCCCAGCATTTCACTATTTCAAACAATGCATCCTTTTATTGTTAGAGATAGTTTTCTTCACTTCATCTGGTAGGCAAGATCTGTGGTACAGGGATAGCGAAAACAATTGGTAGTTCATATTTGTTGCTGTTTTTACCTTTGTTATTGATGAATATAGAAACGTAGAAATATATGTGTGCATATGTGTACTTGGGTGTATGTATATATGTGTGTACATTGAGAAGTTTTTGTGCACTTGTGGCATTATTTTTGAATCGTAAGTTATTGCCAAGTTGTGAAATGGCAGAGTCAGTGTGTGAATGTTTAAAATTTTGGTTGACATTGCCAAATTATTTCTCCCTTCCTCTTCTAAGATGGTGCCAATGAACTAACATTCCTTACCAACCAAGTGAATAGGAGTGCTTATTTCTTCAATTCACTACTTAACACAAAATATTTTAAGTATAGTTGTTTGCTAACCAGATGAGTAAAAATGATTATGTAACTGTCCATATTTTCATATTATTACAGTTGACCCTTGAGTAATGTGAGGGTTATGGGGCATGCATGTCCCCCTGCAGTTGAAAATCCATTTGTAACTTTTGACTCCCTCAAAATATAATTACTAATTGTCAATTTTTTTATTAAAGATTTATTTATTCATGAGACACACACACACAGAGAGGCAGAGACACAGGCAGAGGTAGAAGCAGGCTCCCTGCAGGAAACCCGATGTGGGACTCGATCCAGATTCCAGGATCATGCCCTGAGCTGAAGGCAGAGGCCCAACCCCTGAGCCACCCAGGCATCCCACTAACGGTCAATTAATGCATCTTTTATGTGTTATATATATTATATGCTGTAATTCTTCCACGAAAGTAAGCTAGAGAAAAGAAAATGTTAAGAAAATCATAAGGAAGAGAAAATCCATTATAGTATATACAGTATATACAGTATTACACTATAAAAAAATTCATGTAAGTGGTCTTGTTCAGTTCAAAAACCATGTTGTTCAAGGATCAGCTACACACACACACACACACACACACACACACTGAAGCATACATTTAGAGAAATGTATACTGAATGTATACTAAATGCATACTGAAGCATACATTTAGAGAAACATTATATAACATATACAAACAGACATTAAAATAGAGCTACAGTAGTGCAATTAAAGTTGACTTAGCTTGGATTCTGGGTAAAACATATATGCCTTGTCATCTGGAGCACTTTGACTATCCAACATTGTTACCTTGGGGTATCCAGATATGGGGCTGCTTTTTTAGTGGTGGATTATCTCTTTAGGGTAAAAACTGCAAAACAGAGGTCAAGAAAGAAATTTCATGTGAAATAAGAACATTTAAGAACACAGGTAAAAGAACATTTACCAACCTTCACTTGGTTGGTAAGGAATAATGGCAACATTATTGCCAAAGTAAATGGTAGAAATAATTCAGAAAAGGTTCATATGAGACATTTTCATCTGAGGTTCATCAGTATCAGTGAGTAGGACCTGAACTCTTCAAGGAAACTATGCTAACACATTTTTCAGTATTCTTACATAATATTATATGACCTTACTACTTAGGGATCAGGGTAACTTTTAATTTTGATATAATTTCAAATGTAAAGAAAAATTATAGTAGTACAAAGAATTCTCCTACATCCTTCGTCCAGATTCACTGGTTGTTATTAGTTTTCTTCCTGTGCTTGCTCTATCATTCATTCTTTCTCCCCACCCTCATGCATGAACACTTTTTTCTTGAACTATATGAAAGTGAATTGCAAGCATCCTGTCCCTTTAGCCTTAAATACATCAATATATATTTTCTAAGAATAAGGGCATTCTTTACATAACCAGAGTACAATCATCAAAATGAAGAAACTTAACATTTATACAATACTATTATTTAATGTACAGGACTCACATTTCATCAGTTATCCTGATGATGATCTTTATAGCTCTTTTTTTCATCTGATTTAGAATCATGCATGCAGTTGGTTGATGAAACTTTAGTCCTCTGTTAATCTGGAACATTTCTTTGGCCTTTCTTTGTGTGTCTTGACCTTGACATTTTTGAAATGTCAGTTTTTTTGTAGAATGTTCCTCAATTTGAGTTGTCTGAGGTTTCCTCATGATTAGCTCAGGAACGTCTCCTTGCTAGTAACACCCAAAAATACTGTCCTTCAGAGTGCACATGATGTTAACTTGTCTCATTACTGGTGATCTCTGATCACTCAGTTCACTAAGTTTCTCCACTGTAAAGCATTCTTCTTTCTAATGAATAAGAAATTGTGGGGAGATTTTGTGAATTATATTTTCAAAATACCATTCCTTATCATGCTTTCAACTACTAGTTTTTGCCTCTATGTTTAGAATTAGTTCTCACTTTTTAGCCAGTGCTGTCAAAGAGAGTAGTATGTTCCCTCTTATTGGAAGAGGTCATATCTACATTGGGTAAATAGTTGGTGGGCATGTTGTAGAGGGAATGGGAATTTAAGCATTTGTGGAGTAATTGGTCTTTCATTTTAAGTTCCCTTGCAACTTTGAGTGTTTCTGTGAACATCTTTCAGGCAGAGAAGCTTCTTATGTTCTCCAAAAAATTGATAATCTTTTGTAACTTTTCCTACTTTTAATGTTGATAAATATAAAAACAATACATGTATTTTGAAGTAGTGAAAAATCTAATGAAATAGTAGAGAATCTTCTGTAGTACTCTACTGACCTTGAATAGGGTATGATTATGTCTGGGCTCAGAAAAAATAATGATATATCATGAGAATGGTTCTTGGGCGTGTATATGGGTAGGATTTGTGAATAAAAAGGCAGTGTGGCATGTGGCAGTTAGAATTGAACAGAATTAAACCTTCTCTTAAAATACGTTCCCTTTTAAAAATATACATACATCGGATGTTTTTATTTGGAGTGAGTTTCAGGGATCTGATATTGCTGATAATGGATGTCTGAAGAATTTTAGGAGCCTGTCACAGGAGGAAGTTGGAGTGGAGGAGAGTAGAGAGAGGAAAGGGTTCAGATAAATATATACATTTGAATGGGAAGCAGCACTGGTCTGGGCACATGTTGGGTCAAGAGGAGCCCTGCTATTGCTCTAGGTCCTTCCATATTCTTCATGAATAATTTCTGAATTACTTCAGTGGCAGGTTTTAAATACCATCATTATTGCACATTTGAGCTACCATTGCTAGTATGATATTCCTGGTGAGGCAGAAAGAAGTTCTCTGACTTGTTGGAGGGCATCACCACTATTACACATCTAGGCCAGAATCCTAGAAGGGCCCCTATACTTCTCCTACATTTGCCAAGTCTAGTTGATTGTCTCTCATAATTATACTTTGAGTTCATCTTCTACCTCTCTCTGGACATAATATGCCATTTGTAGTTTAAGCCTTAGTTTTTTCTTAACAAGATATGGAAATAGTTTTATAACTGGTCTGCTTGCCTCGGGACTGTTTGCTGCACTGCTGCCGCACCTCACCACTTACTCTCTGCTCCCAAAAACTGCTCTAGGGCTCTCAGTTGC